TGTTCGTGATGCCAATGATCTTTTATCATGTCCTGCTGAGAACTTTCGGGAAAATCTCATCCATCCCGATGAGTTGAGCGCACTTTCTAGGCGAGGTAAGAAAGAGAATGATTTCTTTCCTAGACGTTTCTCACATAGTTTACTCTTGCAGACCAAACTGAGGTGTTATTTCGCATTCTAAAGGAAATGAGAAGAGAGAAGTGTGGCTTTTTCAAGAGCTTATATGTAGTTGCGGATGCACGTTGCCCAGTGATACGATTTCGGGCATATGACACACATGTGAGTTCTACTTGAATACTTGTTTAAATTTACTTATTGATGGTCTTACAGCTCGTGGAATTATCTGTAGACAACAGCATAGGATATCAGAAGTCTGCATATTTGGGAGCATTGGTGCAAGGTGATCAGTCTGGACTACTTCGCAAAATAATCCTAAGCTTACGTCTTTGGGCAATGTCTAATGGAGTGTTCAGTTCGGAAAAGAAGAAGGTAGGTTTGGTAGTTTTTGTGAAATGAAAGCCTAGTTTGTAATAAAAGAGTATTTATAGACGTGGAACCTCAATTCATACTCCATAACCCTAATGTTCATAACCTTTTTACAATCGGAGGGATTATTACCAGTTTTCACTCATTCGCAAACTCCTGTACGTTTGAGAATTGGCCAATTTGCGTTTTTATTTTAGCTTTTATACTGATAATTTTTCAATATTCCAAAATTTTTATAGGATTAGTTATTTTAATTATTCTAGAAATATGCTAATGCCATCAGAGTCGATTTTGTCATTCCTCCGTTTACTCTTGCAGAAGTTGACTTACGAAATCTCTTCAAGGTATGCTACTCTTCCCATCTGCGCTAGCATATTACTTTCCAGCAAAATTTTCAGAAATTTTTTGTATCTTGCGTGGAAAATCAGCTAGATAAATTGGTTTTTTCACCGAGAAGAGGAGCTCTGATACCTTTGGCTGAGCTGCAAGAGCAAATGAATTCCAAGCCAATATCCGTGCTCTTCGTGCAGGTGATACATATTTTGAGTGTAACTCGCTTTCTTACATAAGTTTGTGGGAGTTAGATCTAAACTTACAGAGTATTTCCTATTTATTTACACGCATGCCTTCTCCAGGATCCGATAGAGCTGACCGATAATGTAGCAAAGAATGTGACTAGCAAAGCCCTAAGGACCATGAGGC